TATAGGAAGTACCTTTATCCTCAACTGACCTACATAATCTAAATCAATACTTATCGTTGGTATTCAGCTTACTGCAGCAGTCTTTGTATAAGTTGGTTTTTCCTCCATTCAGTGACATCTTGTGCATTTCTCATTTTTTTGCAGCATAGCCACTAAATTCAACAACATATAATACTCCCTTTATTGCAGCAGATTTTGTATGAGTTTGTTTTTTATCCATTAAGTGTCATCTTGTGCATTTCTCTTTTTTTTGCAGCATAGTCACCCAATTCTAAATCATATAAAACTCCCTTCTTCTACCTGCCAATATTCCTTCAATCACATCTTTTAGCAAACTGTTTCCCCTAAGTATGTGACCAATTCATTTCTTCTTCCTGTTTCTAATCAGCTTCATTCACTCTCCTCAATAATAGTGATTTATGAGAGCAATAAGAAATCAACAAGAACAACAACAATAATCAATTTAATAGTTTATTTACAGAGCCTTATTACAGCTTTTTATTCCAAGATGCCATCAATTATAATAACAATTAATTTAAAGCAGGAGGAAACAGAAATATTGTAAACATTTACATACAGTATTGAATATATCAATTACAACAAACACCACTGAACAAAACTTAAAAAAAACTTAAACTTAGAAAAAACTTAAAAAAAAAAAAAAAAAAAAGAAACTTTATATTTCTCAAAACAACTTACACAAGTCACACATTGACACAAAAATCAGTTTGAATTGATTTTTAAGATGTTTTACTACAAAAATCTATAAATTTGCTTTTAGAAATTGGATTGTGTAACAAACAAGATCACTCGAAAGTGTTTTGAGATACACCATGCACAAGATTTTGATTTTATTTTTCAATATATTGTAGCGTAATCATATCTGATTTGACATTTAGTGTAGTGTGCTTATTATACAAATGTGTAAACTACTTATTTTTCATTTCCCAGACTCAAAATTGATGGCTTTATTCCAAAACAGTGGTGATCCCTGACATTTTGGTATCAATCTCCCATATTAACACTCGTCCGATCGCCCAAGACGATCTAAATTATATAAGGATGAGTAAAATATTATAATTATTCGTCTGTGTGTGACAACCGTTTTTTTGGCTTAGGCCTAGAGCCCTACTCCGGTAGCGTAGTGGCAGGGATTTTACTCCCCGATCGATCCCAATACAATTGACACTGTAGCAGTGATGTTTTGTTCGTGAGTTTTTACGTCATTCCGCATAAACCATATGTCTCCGCATGTCCATAATGCATTATTACCGCCATACACGCGATCACAGTGCTATTTTGGCTGGATCTGAAAGACTAGTAAAAGTACTAAATACATGTACAAGGGTAAATAAAACCCTACATAGTGTACACTATACCGTATATTATTCGTCCGTTTTACGTGCGAATAGAATAAAACCAGTTGTTTCCGGTTTACTGAACACGCCGCAGTGAACTAAAGCGTGCAGAGATGTGAACTGAACAATGTGGCAGTTTATTGATAAAGTTTCGCAGCCCCAGGCAAAAAAAAAGAAACAAAAGAAGAAACATTGCAGCAGCAGAGCAAGTATGAGCATGATGTTAGGAAGCATACTTTTTTGCCAACGTGGCAAATTAACAGGCCGTGGCTAAAATACACTCAAAGGGATGACGTAATGCAATGTACGGTATGTATTGAAGGGTCTGAGTTGGAGGCTAGTAGTAGTAGTAGGAAGCAAGGCCATCCAAAACATAAGAAGGTATTTGTCAGTGGCTGTACGTCTTTTCGCCTCGAAAGTATTAAAATACACGGGACATCGGTGATGTAATTCTAATACAGTATTAAAAGAAAATAAAAGGAAAGAAAGATGTGTTCAATCTTATTGTCATTTAGTCATTTTTTACAGCACTGTACAAAAAATACAATACATTTGAAAAAATTACACGCAAGGCGGTCGATGTTGAATTTTACAACTTTTGAAAAAATGTAAGGGCAAGTTAAAATTCTTAAGGGCAAGTTAAATTTCACTCCAACTTGCCCTGCAGACTACTAAGAACCCTGC